TGTGTGTGTGTAATATAGTGTGTGTGTGTGTGTGTGTGTGTGTGTGTGTGTGTGTGTATAAATGTGTGTGTGTGTGTGTGTAAATATGTGTGTGTGTGTAAATATGTGTGTGTGTGTGTAAATATGTGTGTATATAAACTTTATTTCAAATAGTACATTTGCCTTTTAGTTTAATTTAATTCGAAATACACTTACCAAGACGCAATAAACACGTCACCAGATGCCATCTCTGCAGCTCTCAGATATTCTCCACAGCTAGACAACAACTCTCCGACAAATTCAAAGTCGAGTTCAGTTGTATTTCCCGGACTTGAATTTTGTCCAATCAGGTGGCGGCATTACATTCAGCTCGCATTGGTAACGAATTTGTCAACACCATGACCGCCATTGTACGTGTGGGAACTGTTAATTTTTTACTGGCGACGGATTTTACTCTCCTAACGCTATCAAATATCATCGACAGTGAAAAAATATACAGGGGAGGTTAGTACAACATATATGACACAATTATTTTATTATGAATCAATCAGAGCAAAGTTATGGTTACATTAATACAAATTATATTAGACACAACAATAGAAAACTGTTAGAAGTTAGCAACAAGAATAATTACGTGTTACAGGTTACACAGTATTAATGTAATGCTGATCAATGACCACAAAAACAAGATCACAACTTGTTGTAAACTTATTGTAACTAATTGTAATTAATAATAATTATCTATAAAATGGAGGGTTAATGTGATTACATGTGTGGATCGGGTGTGTTACAGGTTCCTCAGTATTAATGTAATGCTGATAAATGACCACGAAAATAAGATAACAACGGTATCAGCTCATTTCCCTGGGTCAGTGCATGATGTGGCAGTCTTCGCCTGCTCCAGCATCCAACAGATGATGGAGAACGGAGACCTGAAAAACAAGGGGTTACTCCTGGCAGACAGTGGGTGTACCTCATGACCCCTGTCTTGCGGCCTCACAATGACCAAGAGGTGATTTAAATTAATAGCACCTGTATTTATTGTTAAGTAATGGTGAAGAGTGATGTAACTCAAAAGGTAGTTTAATGTTGGAGCTGGTACATGTTGCTGCTTAAGGATGCTCTCCACCTTTTGCACGGGTATTGCTCTGTCGTGTTCTGTGGTCACGACTATTGTGGATTTATATCAGAAACTTATCAAAGAAATTAACAGACGTTTATGCCAGAACAGGAACTAACTTTATTCAAATAAGATAACGCCACAGATGGCGCTCTGGTAGACATGCAAGTGGCGCTGCCCGGTGGGGCGCAGCAGTACTAGTAGTCACAGGCTACTACATCTCTCTCCCTTTTTGAACAGAACAGAATTCATAAGATACCAAACTGAAATATCAATCACTGAGCCTTACATGGCAAACGTATCCGTAAGGCTACAACTCTTGGGGACGGGAGTACACACAGAAACTACAAACTTGCAATACTTGGACTGGCTACTGTTAATCCTGGAGATAGGTAGGCCTCCTTCGTTCACGCCCGGGATACCTGTGTGGACTAGGCACCGGTTCTACCTCAGGGTTCTTTACCTGGACTAGAGGTTCTACTTCCAATGGGGGAATAATAGTGGGCGTGGTTAACTCGGGCACATTATCCTCCTTCGGGTTTGTGTCAACGAGGGGATGTATCTGCTTTAGCAGGGAACAATTCCTTTGCCTTTACTTCTTCGTCGCGCTGGATGATCACCATGGGACCCCTAATATCTATCACCTCGTAGGGATCGGGCTTAAACTTGGGGATCAGCTTGCCAGAAACATTATTCTTCATCAGGACTTTATCCCGACTACACGGAGTTTGGACTCCTTTGTATGCCTGCGTCTGTCCGCATACCTTTTTATTTTCTCCTTGTTTCTGTTGTCAATGCCCTTCAGGACCGTATCGGAAATCTTTGCCGGGATTTGGGGCAGCTTGGTCTTACCCATATACCTATGGACAATGGACGCAGGGGTTTGCATGGTCGTACAGTGCGGGGTGTTACGATAATTCCGCAGAAACCCATACATAACCTGTTTCCAAGGTTGTCTTTCAACCTGAGCGGCTGTACATGCTTTGTTCAATGGCTTATTGAAACTCTCGACATCCCCGTTGGCTTCTGGCCACAAAGGTGTCACTTTGCGGTGATGGAAACCCATGTATTTTGCGAAATTTGTGAACTCACTACTTTGAAATGGCGGACCGTTGTCCGTCTTTACTACATCGGGTATCCCTCGCGATGAGAGTATCTTGTCGAGTACCGGGATTACAGTACGCGCGGCCGTCGAGTTGACAATCTCTACTTCTGGGAATCTACTGTAGTTGTCAATGACTACGAGCAGGTACTCTCCCTGAGGCAGTGGACCATTAAAGTCTACACTGACCTCTGATCACGGACGGTCTGGTAACTTGGTCATGCGGAGTGCCTCACGTGAGCCACCACTTGTCGACGCCTGACATGGAACGCACGACAAAACCTTGTCTCTAACTATCTGATTCATGTTCGGAAACCAGACTTTCTCCCGCAACAATGCGAGGGTTTTGCTCACGCCTTGATGGCCTTCATGAGGTAGTANATGTATTTTGCGAAATTTGCGAACTCACTACTTTGAAACGGCGGACCATTGTCGGTCTTCACTACATCGGGTATCCCTCGCGATGAGAATATCTTGTCGAGTACCGGGATTACAGTACGTGCGGCCGTCGAGTTGACAATCTCTACTTCTGGGAATCTACTGTAGTTGTCAATGACTACGAGCAGGTACTCTCCCTGAGGCAGTGGACCATTAAAGTCTACACTGACCTCTGACCACGGACGATCTGGTAACTTGGTCATGCGGAGCGGCTCACGTGAGCCACCACTTGTCGACGCCTGACATGGAACGCACGACAAAACCTTGTCTCTAACTATCTGATTCATGTTCGGGAACCAGACTTTCTCCCGCAACAACGCGAGGGTTTTGCTCACGCCTTGATGGCCTTCATGAGCAATATCTACAACTCGGTTCTGTAGACTCACAGGGAGCACAATCCTACCTTGCTTCACAACTATGCCTTCTCTGCTCACTGACAGTTCTCCTTGCACCTTGCTATATGGAGTAAGGCCTGCCTGCTCTTTGGCTTCATGCCACCTTCCGGACCTAACTAGCTTTCTGACTTTACAGAGCGTCGGGTCTAACTCACAAGCAACTCGCACCTCTTCAAACATGACGGCCTTCGGCACTGAACTCTGCACTATGAAGCTAATGTATTCTTCTGCTACCCTCTGTTCGTGGCTGCTAACCATGTTCGGCAACCCAACGGGATGGCGGGACAGGTAGTCTGCTGGGTTTTCTTTACCCACTTGGTGCCTAATCTCGAACTCATACGGCAACATCCGAAGCGACCATCTCTCGAGTCGAGCTGACAGTTTAGCTCGAGGATTTCCGTACATGGACAACAACGGCTTGTGATCCGTGTAAATAGCCACTCTGTGACCATGAACATACAAATGGAAATGTTCAAGCGACCACACTACACCTAACGCTTCTCTCTCTAACTGGCAGTACCTTTGTTCGGTCGGGGTCAACGACCTACTACCGTACGCTACAACGCGACCCTTCTGACACAAGATAGCTCCAACACCAACTGGGGAGGCATCAGTGTAAATCTCACTCTCTGACTTGGTGTCAAAATACGCTAGCACGGGCCGCTTACTCAATATCTCTTTCACCGCGTTCAACGCATCGGATTGGTCCTTTCCCCACTCAAAATCGACATCATGGTGGGTCAACTTTCTCAACGGAGCAATAATGGTCGAATAGTTGGGAATGAAACGAGCGCTGAAATTTAGAGTTCCAACTAAACTGTGTACTTCGGCGGTAGAGGTCGGATCTGAAGCTTCCAACAGAGCTTCTACCTTTTGCGGATCGGGCGACAGACCGCGCTTCGACAACACGAATCCGAAGAACTCTACCGATTCCTTGTTGAAATCACACTTCGCGAGATTTAACGTGAGACCCTTCTGCCTCAGACACTCTAACACTGACAGTAGCGCTTTATCATGCGACTCCTGATCTACACCGAACACTACAATGTCATCTGATATATTTATGGCACCTGGTACCCCATCTATCACCTGCTGGATGACATTCTGGAATACTTCGGACGCGCTGCTGATACCGAAGAACAAGCGTTTATACCTCCTCAAACCGACATGAGTTGTAAACGTTGTGATTTGTCTTAACTCGGGGTAAGCTCCAACTGGTGGTACCCATTACGCAAGTCAAGTTTTGAGAACACTTTCGCCCCATTCAACTGAGCTAACACATCATCTACCATAGGGGTAATATGTCTTTCCCTCACTATGGCACGGTTTGGCTGATGCATATCGACGCATAGGCGCACTTCATCGGGATTCTTCGGTTTTGGCGCAACAACTACTGGCGTAACCCACGGGGTTGGACCATCTACTTTCTCTATGATGTCCAACTCTTCCAACCTTTTCACCTCTTTCTCTAACTTCTCACGCGTATGGTATGGGATTCTACGATGGGGCTGGGCCACAGGGCTGACATCTTCCCTGACATGTAACTTTACTTGGTATCCCTTCAT